AATTTGTGTTTCTCAGGTTTTTGTTCTCTTCAGCCTGTCCTTGCAATAAAGGCAGTTCAGGCCTCCTACCTGTGAATGGGGAATCTGCTTCTGGTACAGGTGGAGGCTGCAGTCCCAGGTGTTTGGGAGGACAGAGCTGTCAGCACCTGGGAGAATGGTAGGATAACAAGGGGAGGAGGAGGGCCAGTGGTGCTTGGATGCAGAATGCCTGCAGCTGACAGCGTGTGAGCAGCCCCGTGAAGTCCAGTAGTTATAGACAATGATTTTTGTGTCCAAAGTGACAGCAGGAGTATAAGCACAGGGAGCTGGGACTGGATTGGGCTCCCCCAGGCTGGTTTGGAGGGCTGGCACAGAGACCTCAGGAACATAAAATGCCTCCCTCTCTTCACCTCAGCTCTTTGTGAGTACAAGGAGTGTTCAGTACTGGTTCTCCCCTCAGATATGCAGCAGCACGAGTGCGCCATGAGCTGGAAGGCACATGATGGGGAAGTCTACTCCGTGGAGTTCAGCTATGATGAGAACACAGTCTACAGCATAGGCGAGGATGGCAAGGTAGGCTATGGATCACCTCCTGCTGCTCAGTGAGGTCACTTCTGGAGTCTTCTCTATATGGTGGGGACAATTGAAATACGCTCAGATGCTGGATGAAACATGGGCTGCTAACTGCAGTCTTAGGTGTGCAGTACCACCCTGATCCATGCAATCTGCAGAGAGAGTGGCTGAAAAATAGATTAATAGTTGGAGCTGTCTTTGACTTTGTGTGTAAATCCTGCTGTTGGTGACATCCCTTTTCTAGATAGTCTATGTGAGGATGACCTTTCTCTGACCCTGAGATGACAACATTTGAGATCTAGGATTCACAGGGAAGCATATCCTTGACCATTTTGCATAAATCTCATCAGCAGCTCCCTTTATAATTGTTACTGTAATTGTTATTATTGCTTATAATAAACACCTCCATTTCTGCAGTTCTTCAGTCTTTAGCAGTAGGGGTGTGGTTCAGGGAGGGACCTTGGCTGAGGAGTTAAGCCAGTTCTCACCAGAGTACTGCATGTGGTGTGGAAGGACACATAGGCAGTAGTGCTTGAGGAAGGCAGGTCATATCTTTGCCTGGATAGACAGAGCTCTTACAGCCTTTGCATCCTGGGCTTTATTAATATAGCCACTTAGGTATAGATGTCAAAATGCCATCTTCTGTTTGTGAGGAATACCCACTATTTTGCTTAAAAGCAAAAAAAAGGCAACTCTATTTGCATCCCAGTTAATTTCATTATAAGCTTTTGTCATCTCTTTTTCTCATTCTAGTTTATTCAGTGGAATATCCATAAAAGTGGCTTGAAGGTGTCTGAGTATGACCTTCCCAGGGAAGCTACAGGTCCTTTTATTCTGTCTGGGTACAGTGGCTACAAGCAAGTCCAGTTCCCACGAGGACGGCTTTTTGCTTTTGACTCTGAGGGCAATTACATGTTGACATGTTCTTCTACTGGGGGAGTAATTTTTAAGGTAAGTCTGAGAAGTGATGGGAAGTACTCTTAACTATCCGTACAAACTTATGCTAATTACAAGGGTGCAAGAGCAGCCACTGGAAGTTCTCAAGCAGCACATACCCATCCTGGCTCTGCCAAAGCTGCTGCTCAGTTTCACACAGTGTGCATTTTAACTTAGCAGTGTGTGGTGAGTGTACAGCAAGTGTTTGGGTCCTACAGCTGGAGTATTTGGGCTCTTTCTTAAAGCCTAGCTTTTGGTGTCCAAGTGACTAGGACAAAGTTTTAACTACTTGTTTAATATATGGATGCATGTCAGTTCAGTGCAAAATGTACGATTGTTGACTGGTGCCCATGTTCAGTCTGCCTTCTGTGCCTGCTGATTCTGTTAGAGCCAGCCTGATCCTCTTCCCTTACCGTGCACTGAAATTAAAGGGTAAGGCTGAATGGTTCTGAGTGCCCAAATTTCTATGCTTCAGTAACAACTGTTGCTGATAACATGCCCGTGCTCTTGCAAGGCAGATTAGATGGAATTTTTACTTTGCATCTGGGGCACTCAGAGCACTTGAACTAACATGAGCTATAGCTTAGGCTTATGTGCTTCTCATCAGTGTACGCTCTTAGCCTGCCTTGTTCAATTACTGCAGTTCAGTTGATGTCAAAAGTTGAGCTGCTTGAGAGCACATGTTTCTGTAGTGAGACTGGAAGCTTCCTTTCCTGTGTGTGCTACACACATCTCAGTATCTCTTTCTGCATGCTCATAGAGATACGGAGTCTTTATCAGGCTTTGGCTTTTCTTGTTGGGTGCATTGCCCCCACTGCAGAAATGTACCTCCTTAAAATCTTATGCTTTCCTTCTTTTTAGTTAAATGGTGAGGAAAAGGTTCTGGAGAGCTGCCTTTCCCTGGGAGGACACCGAGCTCCTGTTGTCACAGTGGATTGGAGCACAGCCATGGACTGCGGGACCTGCCTCACTGCTTCTATGGATGGCAAAATTAAATTAACAACCTTACTGGCTCAAAAGTCTTAACCTGGACAGTACTGAAGGGGGAAAGAGCAATAGAGCTGACAAAACCAGTGTTAACTCACAGGAACAAACTGCATGGGAGAGAAGGCAAAGCAAAGTCCCTCTTCTCATTGTAGCTTTTGCCTCTTGATAAATAGGTTTGCCAAATCCCTGTGCAACAGAATGCCAGTATGGGACTGGATCAGTGGCAGCACTGAAAAATAAGTCTCCACTAATCCATTGTGGCAGTTGGACTTCCCTCTGTTAGGGAGTCTTGAGTAGCATGTGGCTAAAAGGCTGTGGTCACGTCAGGGTTCTGCAGAAGAAGGTGAGGCTGGAGGAAGCAAGCATGAGGCAGCACAGTGCATGATAGTAGGATGACTCAAACTGAAAAGGCTGATGAGAAACCAGAGTATTCTTTGAGTATAACATTTGTTGTTACGATTTTGTTAGTTTGTTTTTATTTGTGGGGTTTTTTTTCTGTAAAAAGAAAATATTCTCTTGCATTTGAACTCTATGCTTTGTTTAGCAGTTGCTGCAAAACATGGAGGGTGGTGAGGGCAGTGATGTACCAAGTCTCCTGCATGCAGAAAAGCTCTTGTGTTTTCACCAGGTGCTTCCAGCATCTGCACACCATGGTGAACACCATCCAGGAACAAAAACAACTGTGTTTGCTTGGATGTATTGTGTTACCTTGCCACAGGTAACTGCTACCAACCAGAGCAGAAATCCTGAGTCAGACTTTGGAGTTGGAGTTCAGAAGCTACATAATGCCTAGCAGGTACCTGATGGTGGATAGGGGGAGGGAGGCCAAGACCAGTGTGGCCCTGGATAGGGCTCTCTGTCACTGGAGCTGTCTCTCCCCCTAAGCCCCCCAGCATCAGGGCAAGTGCTGTGCTCAGGTACTGCATAGGCTTTGCATGGACTAAGCAGATACTTTTCATCTGCTTATGTCCTTGGCCTGTATTGGAAGTTTGTGATACTGTTGTTCCTTGGCAGAGCATACACTGTGCTGGAAAATGAACAGCCATTCATGAGCCATATGAGTAGCCATTCTCATAGACAGCTGTTCAAGGATAACGCTGCTGGATACTGAAATCCTCACTGCAGGCATGTTCATGCTACTGTTGCCCATGGAGTAACTTGCTCCTGCTGACTACGCTCATCTGATAACCTCACCTTCCATTCTCCAAGATTACAGGTCTCCTGCCAGACTGACATCTAAGTACAGGGTTTCCACCTCAGTGGGATGTGATACTTATGGTGCAGCTGCTGTTCATGCCAGTCTGAGCTAATGCCCCTCAAATCCAGTGCTGAATTCGAACAGGCTTCAGGAATTCCCAGGGTTAGTCTGAGAGTTTAGAGAGCTCTCAAATGGGAGCCTTTGTTTGCCTCTCAAAAGGCCAAGAAATATTGTGGCTGTATTCCAAGCCCTGCAGTGTTGACTACATTGCACAGGGGTTTTAGAATTTAGAATTACAAAATTACAGAATGTTCTGGATTGGAAAGGACCTAAAGCTCTTCTACTTCCAACTTTGCCATGAGCATGGCTGCCTTCCGCTAGACCAGGTTGTCCAAAGCCCCATTCAACTGGATCCTGAACACTACCAGGGATGTTACTTTCTTCCAGATGTTATCTTCCAGCCCCCACAGAGGGTCAGTTGAGGTTTCTGGAGAGACACTACTTTCAGGTTTGCTCCATAAGTAGGACTAAAAGCAAAAGAAAACCCCCAAAACAGGGAAAGAAAGTATAAAAAACGTGCCAGTCCAAGGCTGCTATGCAAAATGATGCATTAGCACAGCATTGACACTGTGCCAGAAGCCTGGAGGGAAGGAATGAACATGTTGTTTTGCTACAACAACGCTCAACACGCTGTAGTCCCGGAGGGGCTTTTACTCCATCCTTGGGCCGTCATAAGTAGGACTAAAAGCAAAACAAAACCCCCAAAACAGGGAAAGTATAAAAAACATGCGCCAGTCCAAGGCTGCTGTGCACAATGATGCATTAGCACAGCATTGATACTGTGCCAGAAGCCTGGAGGGAAGGAATGAACATGTTGTTTTGCTACAACAACGCTCAACACGCTGTAGTCCCGGAGGGGCTTTTACTCCATCCTTGGGCCGGCCTCTCCTCGCTTCCCTGCAGGAGCCCCGGCTGCTGCCGCCGCCCCGGCTGCCCTGCGCGCCCGGGCCTGCAGAGGGCAGCGGCGGGCGCGCTCGGGGGCGGGCCGGGCCGGGCCCGCCAGGCTGGCCCCGGGGCCGTTCCGGCCGTGCCGTGTGCTCCGCAGCTGGCCCGGAGCCATGTGTGCTCCTTGACGGAGGATCGAGGGGCGCGCGGCCTCACTGCCTGCCTGCCTGATCAGACACGGGGCTCTGTCGTGACTCGGGTTTTAGGGCGGCCCGGGGCTGCTTTTCCAGCAGCCCGGTCGGGCGGGGAAGCAGCCTCGGTGTGACGGGCGGAAGGCGGCCGGGCGGCGCCGCCCCGCGCGGCCATGGCGGCGGGCGAGCGGCGGCGGAGGTAGAGCGGCCGGGGCGGCGGGCGGGAGGGCGAGGCCGGGCGCGGCCCGCGCTGAGCGTCCCCTGTGCACTGCCCAGGCCGGCGGCGCTGTACTGCATGAACGAGGCCGAGCTGGTGGAGGTGGCCCTGGCGGTCCTGGCCGAGGTGAGCCGGGAGCTGCGGGGGTGGGGACGCGGCCCTGGCCGGACCCGAGCACGGCGGGGCGGCAGGGCTCGGGAGGACGGGCAGGCTGGCCGCGGGTGCCGCACGGCTTTCCCGACCCCTCCTCTCTGCCCCGGCGGCGCTGATGCCTCTGCACCCTGCCGGGCACAGCCGAGGGCCTGGCAAGGCGGCTCACGGGGCTGGCGGGCTGGCTGTCCTCATGCTTTGGGGGCGCCCGGCCTGAAGTAATGCACGCCCGGCTCTTGTTTTCCCTTTGGCCAGAATCTACAGTGCGAGGAAGGTGAAGAGAACGCCCGGTCCAGGAGCGAAGAGGAGCAGGAGATCCCGCCAACACCAAAGGAGGTTCCTGGAAGCACGGCCAACACGGATGGAGGCAGTGACCATGGTCCGGCACTTCCATCCCCTCCTGGTGCTGGTGCTGATGCAAAGAGGACAGGCAGGGAGGACTCTGAGGACGATGTCCTGAAATATGTCAGGGAGATCTTTTTCAGCTGACGTCTCTGACTTCCCAGGAGAAGAGGGCACAGTGGGGAGGGTGTCTCCTCCCGCAGCCCTGGGAAAGGTGGGAGGAGGGCTGTGCATCCATCTGCTGGGTTGGTGCCGTGTAGCCGGTAGGATACCCAGGAAGGCCAGAGGGGGAAAGGAAGGAGGTACTGAGTTCTCCCACTCTGCTGGGCTCAGTGGGATTTAGCTCCAGATTAGGATGTGTTCATTTCTGTTTCACATTTCAGAGCATGGACAGATAAAAGAGAAACATTCGGGTTTCTGTGAGTATCCCTTTGGTGGGTTGGTGTTGGGCATAGAAGGGAGCAGGGAGCTGCTGACCTGGAAGACCTTTGCTGGCAGAGGTACATGGTCATGGTTCAGCCTTGGGGGCTCCCTTGTCCTTGTGGTCCCTCTGCCACAGCTGCAGTGGGGCCTGGCAGGCTTCCCATTGGGCCTGGTGCTGAGTTTGCCTCCAGACTCCAGCAGTCTTCCCAATGCTGAGGAACACGTGCGGGAGCACAGTGTCAGGGGCTGGGACTGCCCTGAGGGGGCTGATCCCGTGGCAGCGTGCATGGAGGTCTAGGAAGGGATGAAGATGGCTCAGTATTCTCTTTCCAATCAAAAAAAGAAGGACAAACAAACCACATGAGGCCAGCTGTGAGAGCATGTATTGAAATGAAGAATTGGTCAAATCAGCATCATCCCCACTAAGGTTGAAGCAAGAGAGAAAACAGACCCTCATGTCCCTTGAAACAAATTCACTCAACTGCAAAGAATATCACTATTAAGCAGGCGTTCTTTATTTACATAAATTCACCCAGCCACTGGATGAATTAATGCAGTGTATACTCACAAAGCTGTTACATACTCACTATACAGAAAAATCAGTAACATAAAACTCATGTTTTGGAAAATGATTATACGAACCGGACTTAACTGTTTCAGTCTTTTCTGCCATCTAGTGTCCTTTAGGGTTTATTACTACCCCATGTAGGAGTTTTGGTGGTTATTTAATCATCTGCATCAACTTGTCCTTTTATTGCACTTTCTTTATCAGTGCATGCTCAGTCTGTTACCTTGTTTTCAAACTACAAAACTGTTTCTTTCTGGTGTTACTTCAGTATCATCCTAGATGGCTTTCTTCACAGCCTTGAAGGTTGGTTGTTGATTGGAAGCCTATTTAAGTTATATGTATCCTATGTACTTATGAAGAAATTACCTATTGGTTACCTTTTCCTGAGCATTTGTTAGTTCCTAGTTAAACACAATCTACAGATCCTTCTTTTAAACTCCCTTTATCTTTATTACATGGTAGGGCAAAATGTATTAAAAGTACTTTGTTAGTTACAAATTTAATCACACACTATGACATGCTAGCAACATTTTTTACTTAGAGTAGGTGTGAGCAGAGGCCTGTGTTTACTGCGTGCTGGTTCTGCTACCTTCACTGCTCTTTGGGGCCAGAAGTGCTGCCACTTTGATGCCGTGCCCCAAACTGAGGGGTGTTACACGCTGTTGAAGCTGGGAAGGTACAGCCTGTACCTGGAAAGCTTCTGTGCTGTGGCTGTGCTGTGGCTCTTGGTGTCTGCTGCCAGCCTGATGCAGGAGTGCTGCACACAGCAATGTGCCAGAGCATGGCTGGACATGAGCCTTTGGACAGGGAATCAGATTTTTTCTAGGGAGTAAAGCTGTATTTGGATTACAATTTTAAATCATGTTACTGATAGCTCTTGCATCTTCTTCACTGTCAAATCTTAGCGGGCCCGGCCACCTCAGTTAAATGGTTTTCACACATATGTGTGTGCTTGACCCAGCTGAGGAGCACAGTGGCAGTGAGAATCTGGAGCAGTAGCAGAGCCTGAGTCCCAAGCAGTGCCAGGAAGCCTCCAGTGAAATCAGAGGGATGAATCCACCGCGAGGTTTGCAATAGAAACATACCCAGGCCTCCAGACAGGATTATCAGCTTGATGACGGGTATGATGCGAATCATATTCCATTCCTCTCCCTGCCCTGTGCAATTCACATTTAAAAGAAAAGGGAGGTGGAAGAGGATGAAGACCAGGCAGGTATACACACAGACCCTGGCTAGTCCCAGCTGTAGTAGACTGATGCCCATTGCCTGCAGGTGCTTGGTGTCCAGGCACTGCAGCTCCCCAGCTGTCTCGTTCCACAGGCAGAAGCTGTAAAAGCCGATGCGTTTGTCAGGGAGGTTCACCAGGTTTCCAGCTTCGTACAGCAGTGCATAGGACATCAAGGCCAAGGCCCCAACAGTCTCCAGTAATATCAGCAGGTGCAGCAGGTTCTTGGTACACCTCTGTGGCAGAAGACCCATCCTGGTGCCTGCATGCTTTCTTGCTACCATGGTAAAAGCTGCTGTGGGGATGCCTGCTGCAAAACATGAAGGGGGGACCCCTCAGTTGTTGCCTTTTATGACACCCTTCCCAAGACAGGCTCTGAGCCTTATGGCTGGGGTCCAGGGACTCCCCTTGCAAATAGAACGAGAGTGTCTCAGTCCTGCCCAGGACTGTGCTGCACATGAGTTACTGGGTTGAGAAGGTTGCATTTGGTGCACTTGTGGTCACAGCAAAGGTGGCTTAATGGTGTCCCATGTGTGGACCAGTACTGGGAGGAGAGTATGACTCAGCACCACACATGCCCTTTGCTTCATGGTCTCACTGGAAAAGGCATTTGTCAGCAAACTGCAGGGATGGGAGGAGAGAAAAACTGCTGTCTGGTAAGAAGCAAGATAAGAGCTATTCTGGGATAATGCCTTTCCTTCAGTTTTTATCAGACAAGGACATTCCTTGTGATCTTTGGACTACTGAGTAAAGTGCAGACATGACAGGATCTGAACTGCAAGGCTTGCCTTGCCTCCCTACCCTTGTCCTATAGCTCTGGAACACCCAGTGCCATTGATACCACCCATTTCCAGCATCTGAGCTCCACATGCAGGTCCTTGCATGCCTGTAGATTTCTGAGCACAGCAGGACTGAATACCTGGAGCTCTGCTACCCACTGAGGGTGGTAGACATGGTGCTCCTCTGTCTTGGTTGCCTGGGGCCCAGTCCCCTACACAGACAGGCAGGTGCTGAGCTCAGAGAGGCACCCTGGATCCTCCTGCAGCCACTGGCCTTCCTCTGAGATGCAGGGACATGGGTGCTACGGAGACACACCTGTGATTGCCATCCACCTTGCTCCTCTCGCAGACTGGTTGGCAAACCCGACTGCTCCTCTTCCCAGAGTGTGTACTGTCCTCTTCTGCAGTGAACAGGCTTCTGCTTCACGCTGAAAAGCAGGGAAGTGGCATCAGGAAAGGCTATCACTCCTTGCTGAGCCACATAGCATTGAAGCACTGTCCACCCAGGTCTGCAGGGAGGCATAAACATAGGACTCAAGAGACCTTGGCTTCAAGCCAGCCTCAGGCTTGAAACTTTGCAAATAACTCTTCCTCCCTCTGACAAGCTTCATCTGCTGAAAATTATTTACCACTTTCCTTCAAGAAGTTCACATTGGCCCTACTGTCCCCTTCCACTGCCTATTGCCCAGTGGTATATAATTTACTTAAGAATTGGACTCTGGGTCCCTTCCAGTTCAGAACAGCCTGTGAATCTGTGATCTCCTGGATGTTCTCCTAAACCATCACCCAAAGCTGATTGTGCACTTGTTACAGCCTCTGAGTTTTTAGAGTGCCAGAAGAGACTCCATTGAATCTGTGCTCAGTGTCTGGTGGTGGTACTGGTGACCAGAGACCTTTCAGCATTCCCCTCCCACTCCTCATCTCTCCCTGGAGACTTGGAAGTGGGGTACTTCTGTTTAATGAGGACAAATATGAAGCTTCTCAGTCCCAAACTTCTCCCAGGAGAAGGACACACAGCATGGAAGGGGGGATCACAGCATCAGACACCAACCTGTCCACTTCCCCTGGTCACTTCTCCCTCACTTCTTGTAGACTCCCTTGGAGGGCTTCTTCTCAACAGGCTTCTGGAGAGACTGGAAGGTCACGTGGAGGACACCCATTGTTCTGAATCTGCAACAAAGACACAAGCAACCAGGAAAATATCTACGAGAATGAGGCCTCCAGCAGATGTAATTTCACCATGGTTTGTCTTTCTCCTAGTATTGCCTCTTGGTCTGTCTGTCTCACACATATCCTGCACCCAGGCATTGCTGCTCTTCCTCTCCTTGTTCTGCAAGGGCTCACACCACTCATTGCTCTTCCTGCTGTTCTGTCTCACCCTCAGAGGAAGAACAAGCTGCACTTGGAGGGAGCTCTTGGCTGGCTGACCCGGTCTCCAGGGATTGATTTCTGTTAGACCTCAGGGCTGGGACCACTACAGCCCAGCTGACTCTTGGCCCTGCCCACACACCAACCCTTGCTGTTGTATTTCTTTAGACCAGTTTCCTAAGGAAGGCAGGCTTGTAGAAATGTGGCTTTTTGTTCAGTCATCTCACGCTCACTTCCTCTACATCCATAAAATGTAAAAGCTATTAAAAGTTGTCCTAGTTGCACATGTTTAGTAGAGAGGGGACAGAGAATTAAATTCCTATCAAGTTTATGGTACCGTATGGCAGGGCTGGAGGACAGCCACCTCAGAGACCCTGTGCTGCTGAGTGATCTCTGCATGTATAGGGACCTGGGGAAAGCCCATGGTATCTCTGCCCTCTCCTCTGCTTTGAGGCTTATGTGTGTAAGGTCATATTTTCCCAGTGATGTCCCTCTATTCATGGTCAAATTGCTGGCATCTTTGCCTTCTGCTGCCTCCCCTGCCCTGCCCAGCCCGACCCAGTAGGTAAATCCCTGTCCCTATTGTGACTGATAGGACCAGAAACATGCCTGGGATGGCCCTGTGCCAGCTGGATAGAGAACTGGCCTGGAGGCAGTGAAGGCTGAGAACTGGCACCCTGCCACAGTGCAGCCACAGACAGGACATTTGTGAGCTCTGCAGCTCATCACTGAGGCAGGTTTGGCAGTAGCCTGGCTGAGAAGCAAGACACAAACAGGAAAGGGCTCTCACCCAATGTACAGCTTGGGTTTTTCCCAGACAGAGGCAGTCTCACTGCCTCTAAGGAGGTGTCTTTGGATAAGAGACTCTGTGGCTCTTTCTCAAAGGTGCAAGAAAGAGGAACCTGAACATGGCACAGTGAGCCCCAGCCTGGAGTCAGCCTCCTGGTTCCTGGACTGGCATTGATGGAAACACTGGGTTTCACCTTAGGAGAGCTCTGTGTCTCAGTCTCCCTGGCAGAGAGAGGCCCCATGTGAATGGCTCAGGAACTCCCCGAGGTCTTTGTGTGGGAGATAAAGCTCCTAGGCACCCTCTGTGCTTTTGGGACTGCACAGCCCTTTCCTCTGCTGCGCACAGACAGGTGGGCACCCTTGCCAGGCTGGGGCTGTGCCTTCCTCCAGCAAGCAGCTGGTGGAGCGCCTGGGCAAGGGGACAGAAAGGCACACAGCTCTGGCTGTGCACAGGATCTGTGCAGGGATGAACATCTCTGTGAGCCGCTGGATGCCGCTGCAGTGGGGCCGAGTGCGAGGAGGCGAGGGAATGGGCATTTCCTTTTGCACTGAAGAGCCCCCCAGACAGTTTCACTCTCTCACCTCCCCTCTCCCCAGCTGCTGAGGGGAGAAATGCTGTACAAGAGTTATGGGAAAGTGCCACGCTTTGGACATGACACTTTTCCTTCAAGACATCTGTCCTGTTCCTTCACCACCTCCCCACCCCAGCTACCCGGATTGTCTTTCTCCCGCAAGCAGGATTAACTGCAGAGAAGCCATGGGTGAAGAAAGGCCACTGACAAACTAAGGATTGCTGTTAAACAGAAACCAACCAGCAGCAAATGGAGCAGACTGTGGGGGAACCGCCCTTAAAGCATCTTAAAGCAGGGGAAGGACCCTCCAAGACACCGGCACCCTGCAACACCACTTCTCCTGGCAGTTCTCCCCAATGCCAGTGACATTAAAAAAGCGGGGGTCTCAGTGGAGGATACTTACGGGCTGCCCATTTGGGTGGGTGTGGAGCTGAAACAGGCTGGAGAGGGCTGTGCTGCCTTTCCAGGAGCCCAGCTGTTCTGCGGCTGCTGCCGGTGCTGGGCTGGCTGTCCCCGCAGCCTGTTTTGTCACGTGCAGATGGTTATCTGCTTTCTCTTTCGGTTCTAAGGGCCGTGCTCTTTCCCGATATCGAGTCAGCTGCATATGACCAGCAAAACAAGCCAAGCCCCGCTCCACAACCTGAGCCAGGGCCAGGCTCGTGTTTCCTTTCCTTCGCCCTGCTGTGCTAACCAGCACGAAAACCTGACCGGGCTAAACTCACCCAGATTGTTGTGCTGGTAGAGTCGCTTGGGTGTCCGTGAGGGCTTAGATTAATTTGTTTCGTTTTGTTTGGACACTTCTATAGAGGTGACAGACCGTCGCAGCACGTATCCCAGTACCTCAGCACTGCCGGAGTTGCTGCCAGCAAGGCCCTTCTTGCACTTTGGACACTGACCCCTCCCTCCCTGCCTGTGCTTCCCAGAAACAGCGTGGTCCAAGTTCCCTGCCCGCAGCTGCCGTGCTTACGCAGGCACAGTGCAAGGTGCCAAGGTGCTGCCGCCGCAGGAAACCACCGAAACTTCGAGTTACGTAAGGGGAAAACTCTCCTGCTGCCTGTAGTCCTCCTGGGCCGGTGTGGAACTGTTTGTCCTGCTAGCAGTCTTTGTTGTGGGTTAGCCCTCCTTTGTTGGGAGGGCTGGGTGCTGGGGGTTGATGCATGTGGGACACCTAGCATGTTCACAGATTTTCACCTCCTAGTTCCATGCTTAGGCATGGTCCAGAAATTCCATGTGGTACACATTTTGTGAGCCTGTAATACTGGCACTCAAGTCCAGTGCACAAAGTGGAAAGAAATATGGGAGGAAGTCCTAAGAGAAGCTCAGTGGACAGAGATATGCAGATGGTGGTGGGGGCATGACTTCCTATGTGCCTCTGTGGGGGAATAACTTCAGCATGGAGAGGGACAAGGGTCTGGATCAAGGGAGTTCAGATCATGGGTGGCTTAGGCAGGGGTTCTGGTGGGTGGGGACAGAAATCTGTCAGCAAATGAAGTCCATCAGCCCAGAGCTGCTGAGCTGAAAGGGGAGAAGGAAGCCTTGGGGCTGAATATGACCATCTTCTAGCATTGGGGCTGATGGCTGGGAAACTGAGGAATGAGAGACTTCTGAGGCAAGACCTCTGTGCCAGTGGAGCAACATACTTTGGCAGGAGCAAGTTTGTGCTCCTAAGAGTGAGGGGTCTTGCAGTTTGGAAACATTTTTCTGTCATTCAGGGAGAAAAAGGGTATATAATTTTGATCTGGTGATCAACCAGCTCCTTAGCTGATCTGAGCATCACAAATTAAACTGCCATGGGCAGAAGGCACATACAGCTCCTTCAAAAATATCCTTTCCTTCACACTGGGGTAATCAGGATGACTGCCACACTGGGTCTGCTCTGCCATGCCAGAGCATTTTTCCCTGGAGCCATTGTCCCCCTAGAGGGGTGGCTGTTCCAACACCAGCACACTGTGTAACCTGACATTGCTTCCACTGGGCACACACCCTCCCTTTTTGGCCCTTTCCCCCAAGAGAAGATCCCTGTTCAGCCAAGCTGGTCTGTTTTCACATCTGCTTGATTTTGGAATTGCCGGCTACCATGCCCTTAGGAGGTGATGTTTAAAAAGTTTAAATGTTTAAATTACACCATTTGGGAATGTTACTCTTGGAGTGTGGCATCTCACTGGTCAGAGCTGGTTGCCTGATTATGCACCTGTAGCAAAAGCACTTTTCAGTGTTTCCTGAGGAGCCCCATGGCTCCTCCCCAGCAGGGTCTCAGTCTCTGCTGCTTTTAATGCCTCCTGGGATGCCATAGCTGCCAAAAGGGAGAAATCCAGTCAAAATTTGACTCAAGACTTGCCCTTGGTTCCAGCTGACCTTCTGACCCTGGAGTCTTCCTTCCACACCTTTGGCTGCCTCTCTTGCAGGTGGTTCTCCTGCCTTCTCCTTGCAGGTGTTTGGGCAGGGAAGATTGTGCCTGAAGGCTGGGCAGGATGCAGTTTGTCTTTCCATTCCCCTTCCTGGGGACATTTTACAGGTATGTAAAATTTTACAGACTGCCTCTTGGGCTTGCAATGCCCAAGTCTGATGATGGAGTGGTTGGGGAGGATAAGTCTGATGGGGATGAGGTGAGCAGGAGAATGATCATCAACACGTCTCATGGAGAAAGAATGGGAAGGGGGAGGAGAAAGAGAGCAAGGCTTCTAGTTGTGTGTGCCTGGAGGTAGGAGAGACTGGATGGAGTGTTTGGGCTGCTGGGTCCTGTTTTCTGTGGGTGGGAAAGGAAAGCATGTTCCAGGAGCCAGCTTCTACTAAATTCCTGTGTGACCCTTGCTTCCTGGAATTGTTTCCTGAAATGGACATAATTTTTTCATGCATTAAAAAGGTTTATGTGGTTTTAAAGTGGAATTAACTGCTCTGCAGTTCTTGGTTTCTCATTGTGCAGTTAAAGCAAACACTCAGCAGTTTAGTAATATTAATATTAAGGAAAGCATGACATGAACTGGGACTTCACAAAATTTTTTGCTGATTTTACCCTCCTGTTTTAAAAGTAAACTACTACACCTTATCCCACATATGATTCTGTGGGATAATACTCCAGTCTGGCTATAAAACACAGAAACAAAATATTAAGAGCTGGGATATTTATTTGTTTGTTAAACTTCCTCTAAGCAATGCCAATTCCGGGAAAGCCTAAAAGAATGTGATCTGTTACATTTCTCCCCTTGGGTATGGTACACAATATCTAGGAATGAAATCTGCAGCTGGGAGAGGAAGTGCCAAGCCTGCAAAAACATTTAAAGAGACATTCTTTATTAATCTCCTCTTTGGCAGGCATACTCTTACTGGTCATAACACTGCAATATGCTCAACTGTACCGTGCTTAAACTGTACTTGAACTCTACTTAACTGGACTGCCTGTCCCACAGAAGACAACTACAGCTGTAATGGTCTGTGCCTAGACTGAGAGGCTGGGAGAAGGGGACTCCCTTTTATGCATCTCTCCCTGCATACTGTGGGTGGCTGATACATCTGTTTTCTCAAGAGCTGGATCCCCAGTGCCATGGCTGGTGTGACAGCACAGTCACTGATGGCAGGTGAGGACCCGGTGTCCTCAAGTGCCCAAATCAGTGCTGCAGGCCAGGCCTTGGGCTTTCTCTCTCAGCATGACCTGACCCAGCAGATGTGTCTCACAGCTGGGCATGGGCCAGCTTAGCTGCAGCTGGCTTTAGTGCTGCACTGCCAGCACCTCCCCTCACAGAACCACTGGGTGAGAGCCATGATCAGCAGGTGAGATGGCAGGTCTGACAGTGTATGGGAGGGTTTGTCCCTTGAGAAACAAAGAATATTTACAGCATTTTTAACAACCTTTTACTCTGAGCAAAGAGGTGCCTTTACAGTTGATATTGAATTTCATTAATAATATTTAGCCCAATGAGCATATTATTACAAATGCATGTACCCTACTGTCAATAGGAGAAAATACTTTTAACCTCTCTGGAATTTGCCTTGGGTTTATTTTTTCTCCAGTGAGATTGTTGTCAATCAGTAAATCATAGTGTAGTAACGTGATGAAGACAGTTCAATTACAGAAAAATGAGCTCTTCCAAATGCTGAGGTTGAAGGAAATCCAGCCAAAGATCTCCGTACTTCTCTTTGTGGAACAAACTCTTTACTGAGGTTTGAGGTTATAGAAAAAATGGCTTATTGGTATTTAAAGAATTAAACAAACTTGTAAAGTTTACCTTTTTTCACTGGCTCAGGTACCTGAAATATCTTGGTGCAATATCAGTGTCTTGAGTCTGTGAAACAGAGTAGTGCCTTGAATTTCTGAAAAAAGAATAGAAACAGGGATGAATTATTATGACTAACAAGTTCCAAAAGACTGGCTGACAAAAAGGTGTTATTTGTCTGGACTGTTCAGGGAGAGTACACCATGCTGGGACAGGGGAATCTTGGTAAGAGTTCAATAACTAATGGGAAAACAGTTACCATGTAAAGGCTGGTATTTTTCTTTTGGTGACAAAATTGTTTGTGTAAAGTTACAGTGATTAAATTATATTCTCATGTATCTGTCTCTGGTCAGAAAAAAAAAAAATCCAAACTGCCACAGCGTGTTCATCCTGGGATGAAAAATATGGGTATTTTTGCTTTTATGACTTCTGTTCTTAGCCATGCTGTGAAAATGTTCTCCTAATATTTTAGGGGTGTTTTTTTTGGGTGTCTTGGTAACCATTTTGATTCATAAGAGAATATTAAAGTTACAAATTGAAAAAAACCCCAACAAACCAAACAAACAATTGCAAATAAACCTGATAATCACAATGCCAGAAGGAGTACATGTAAGAAAGCTGCTCAAGGTTGAATCCCTTATGCTGTTCTTTTCAGCAAATATTTATGAACCTGGATACAAACATATAATATTGACAAGGGAGCTCACTTCCTTCTCAGTATGGCTTGTTTATTTTTAGTCTGGGAACTGGACAGCTATGCTTTCTCAGTTGCATTAATTGCCACTGCTCTGTTTTTCATATGTTTGGGCTTCTGAAAAGAAGAATTGGCATAAAATGCAAAAAGTTGAGAAATACTGGTCTACCTCTTGAACCAATGAAAGCACTAACAAAGCAGTCAGCATTATAGAGTTTATGTACATAAAAAGAATATCATCCATTGAAATACCAATATGACTTCTTTCCAAATAACAGTTTGCTTTCTCTAGGCAACAATAACAGTGCTCCCATGTTACATCTTGATGCCATACAGTTTTCTAGGCTGAACATCAGCAAAGCGTCACTGAGGGCTGTGTACAGCTCCAGCATGAATTTCTGTCAAAAATTCTACTGCAGCTGTTATATTCCTTGCTATTCACATTTTTTTTCAAAAGCCTTTAACAACTTTCATCAAGATCAACAACAGAAATTTTGTTTAGTCTTTTGATCTGATAAACTTACTTCGTCACTGAACTAGATCCACATGGGGAAATGCACATTCATAATCATGAGAAGATGTTTGTTGAAGGGATCATGATCAGTTTGATAAACTGTTGTTACTTGCTTTACATAGTAACAGCATCACCCTGACATGTTTTGCTTCTGGTACACATCCAGCAAAAGAACTTTATTCATTGCATGAAAGATGTATGAATGCAATCCATGCAATTTCATTGCATGAAATATGTCCTTGCTTATATTTTAGCACCAAAATGACACAACAGGACCTAGTGAAGCTCGACCTAACAAATAGTTCTGCAATGTATACTGGTGTTTATAGGTCTTGGCAAGTAGTGACCTCACAGGGTCACGCTCTTAGGTGGCCAAAGTGGTGTTCAGTCCTGAACGTCTCCTCCTCTGCTAAATTTTTCTTTTTTTCTGTTGTTTATTTACAGTATTTATGTCATAAACAGGAAGCAACAATTTCCAGGAACTATTATTGTTGGCTAAATTTCATCCCAAGCTTTCTAAAAGTAATTTACTCACAGGAGTTTGCTTTGCATATCTGTGGGAAACCTCTTGTGTAATAGTATGTCAATCACAAGCACGAAAGAAACAAACACCAAGTAAACAAGGAGAAAAACATGCTTCAACCCTTTTTATCTCAGCAAAACAAGTAAATATAGGTTACAGAAAAATAAAATGTGTCTTTGTCCTCCTGTGAAATCACTCTTTTGAATCCGAGTGATTTAAATACATTTGTCTATGAGCTTAGATGTAGGCAATGGGCCCTTAGTGACACTGTGATGGCTCTTCTGCATGTGTGAGAGGAGGAAACAGCTCCTGAGCACTCTGAACCAGGTGTTACCGGGCATGACTGACACCAAAGTCCAGAGCATGATACTTCTTGTGCTTAATGCCTGTGCCCTCGCCATTCTGATCCTGGGACTGCTTACTCAGCTGTACTGCAGAAGCTGACAGGTGAAAGCCACCTTCCTTGGAATAAAAACTGATGATCAGGGTTAAGCTACAGCGAAAATGAGTACTTCTGGTCTGCTCATCTGACCTAGTTCTCTGACAATGCATCAAGATCACAGAATTAGAGTGATCTGAGTTGGAAGAGACCTTAAAGATCACCTAGCTCCAGCTCCCCTGCCATGGGTAGGGATACCTTCCACTAGAGCAAGTCGCTCCAAGCCACATCCAACCTTGAACACTTCCAGGGATAAAGCATCAATAGCTTCTCTGGCCAACCTCTTCTGGTGAGTCTTCATCCTTGCAGTGAAGAATCTTTTCCTAATATTTAATCTAAATTTATGCATGTGTCTTTTTATTTCTTTGCATTTCAGGACCAGCTGTGTAGCTCAGATCTTGATTTCTATGTGATGCACATCTTAAATTTGATGAGCTAGATCCAACCTATTAATGTTTCCCCCCAAAAGAAGTGTACAAAAGTTTTATTCCCTAATAAATGACCATGTTAGGGCCACAGCTCTTTATAAAGCACAATGCGCACCTCTCTAAAATCACCTGCACCTCTGCTCTCCCAGTCACTCACAGTTTACACAGGAGGAGCTGATTGTGTTTAGTAGGTGCATCATTTGGTCAGCATACAGATCCTTGCTCTGCTATCAGTTACCCTGAACTTAATCACTTTGGCTGAAAGCAATCAGAATAGTGTGTCCATGGTTAATTAAATAAGGTTTACACAAAGCCAAGTAATACACCTTTTATTGTGTCTAGATTGAGCTGCAAAATGTAAGGCTGCAGAAAAAACAGTGTATTGATTTGAGCGATGCAGTAGACCAAGCTCTGGTATCACCACAGTTTTTTCTCCTCAGAAAGGCCACCTGGCATGGATACAGGGCTTTGCTTCTTCCGGTGAACTGCCTGTTAGGGTTTGACTATATGGTTTGTGTGCAATCTTTTAAAAAGTGTTACATTAAATAGTGTGACTCTTGAAAGTCGAGTTTATAATATTTCAAACATTTACTCTGGCATTTTTTATGAGATACAGAGAAGATATAATAAATGGTGGCATATCTGAATAGTTCTAAGTTACCTAGATTTCCAGTTTAACACATCAGAATTCAGGACCTTGGAATTTACCCTGTCTTGCTGTTTTACTACCTTCTCAGGTTCCCTCAGGCATAGATAATAATAAGAAATACCACAAATTTAGTTTATTGCTTATGGAAAGCCATTATCAAATTTGTTATTGCTATAAACCTACAGACTATTATGTTTTTCACAGCTGGACTAATGAGGCAGGAGAAAAGGCATAGAGGAAACTTCCTTTACCTGCTTGTTATTACACAGTAGTCCAAGAATACATTGTGGAAATACTGTTCTATGGACTCCAAGTCTTTCATATGGAAAGGGATGTTTTGTCTGAAGCCTGAAGCAACACTCTCCTGTAGTTAGGGATCTACAGGCCAAAACATTAATTTGAAAGAACACAAACATTATTTAAAACAGGCTGTAACAAGGTAAAAAACATTAAATGTACGAATTCTGATGCTGGCTTTCTGCACATGAGTCTTTTTTGTGTTAATTTGTTATAGAAGTTAAACTGGAGAGATTTAGTATACTGGTTTAGGTTTTAGTTTAATACCAGAAGGTTTAATTTTATATCCATCAATGTCTTTGTGAGTGGAAGTCTGCACAAGAAATCAAAGCCATTTGTAGCAAAACATACAGGAAACTTGGCAATCTTTGCTATCAAAAGGACATATGGGATCTATTCTGAACCTAACTTTATTCTCAAAAGTGGTTGTATGCCAGAAAAGAAGAAAATGAAAGAAATAAGGAAATTGATAAGTAAATTTTTTGCAGAGGACATGGAGAGAAATACACTGAAAATATCTTGAAGGACAAGACATTGCTCTTTTCTTCTCTTTTACTCTGAAGATATTACCAGAAAAGAGAAAATATATTAAAAGAAAACTTGCACAATACTGAAGAACAAAATAACCCACTCTGAAAAGAAACACAGCCTAAAAAAAGCAGTCAGAAAGTCTTGAGTGCAGTGCAAAATAAGGGACATAGAAACATCAAACTAACAAAGACAGAGTGGAAAGGAGAATAGGGTATTCTAAAGGGAAAGAAAATGAGATTGCCTTTTGACCATGCTTTGGTTATACCAGATGGAAGGGGAACATTTCTTCACAATAGATCTGTATTTGAAGTACAGCTCCTGGCCTGTTAAAATGCAGTGGTGATTTCCCACAATCAAACTACCTGGCTTAAGTATAGGTACTGCTTTCAAGAAAAAATTGTCCCCCAGGAGTTGAGCTTTGCTTGGCTTTCCATGAATGAGATCCATACAGCCCTTTGTTATCCAGGAATTCTTAGTTTCTCCTAGGCTGCACCCTCACTGTTGGTACTGCAGCCTTCTGCTCAACGCCCTGGCCACTTTTGTAGGGGGGTAGTGGTGGTGGTAGTTAAAATATACATTGTGTTTCACAGTGAATGGCATGAGATGTGAATCTTGCAGAATTTAGGCACCACTGGGTCTTTAGAGATGGCACCCAGGTACTCCTGCAGGTTGTAGTAGTGTAAGGATAGTAGTGGGCAAAGTAGCAGGTGTCTTGGCCAGGGAACTGGAACATCCAGGTGAGTGAGAAATAATAATGTCTGTCTCGCCCTACACAGTTTTTGCAATACTGCTTTATTTCCAGTCCTTTACCAGCCCTTTCTTGTGCTGTTCCTTAGTGCTGGTTTCTGAGTAGAGCAGTGGCCATAATCCATGCTTGTACAGGCTGTTTACTGCTAAAGTTGTCAGCAGTGAAGCACTAAAGCATCCCTGCCTGCACATTACTTGCTTGGAAGTCGTACCACTGAGTGTGTCTGTGCTTGTGTGGAGGTTGGCCAGTACTCAAACACAGAATTTGTAGGCAGAGAGCAAACAAACAGTGTGGTGCTGGTTAGCACTGTAGCATGAGGTAGTGGCAAATAATGTGCAAGGCCATGAAGAAGGCTTTTATTCGTGGGGTTCTCAGATGAAGAAAGGAAGGATGAATCTGATTCCATGTTCTTAGAAGACTAATTTATTATTTAATCATCTATATTATATTAAAGAATACTAAACTAAACTATACTAAAGAATACAGAAAGGATACAGACAGAAGGCTCAAAGATACTAAAGAAAACTCATGACTCTTTCCAGACCCTCAACACAGCTTGGCTATGATTGGATTTCGATTGGATTCAATTCACATGAAGCCAATGAAACAATCACTTGTTGGATAAACAATCTTCAAACCACATTCCAAAGCAGCAAAACACAGGAGAATTAAATGGGATAATATTCTTTTCCTTTTTATCTGAGGCTTCTCAGCTTCCCAGGAGAGAAATCCTGGTGAAGGAATTTTTCCAGACAATATGATGTTGACAAAGAAGCACCCTGCAGTGAACCAGGTGCAAATCTGATTCACAGTGTTATAAATCAAAGTCTAAGCAACTGCTGGGAGAAGATGCCTAATCTCACCAAACATGCCAGTAATGCAACTGGTGTCTTGATTAGAACTCTTAGTAATAAGTAGAGCTTCTTAGAACATTCTTCACACTATGCTTTGAAAGGAGGTGCTTAAGAAATGTGTTGAGTTTGTGTGTGATTATCACCTAGAGAGCACATTCAGTGCCAGGCAAGCACCCATGTTCCACTGCAGCCTGATGCTTGCTATCCCAGGAATTAACTGCTTGTAACTGCCTCCGAGTCATTCCTCAGGAGCAGGAGGGACAACTGGCCACACTTCAAGGCAGCAGTTTCCTTCTCCTTAGTTGGAAAGTTTCATTAATGAAGGCTGAGAATCATAGCACCACAACACCCACTTTGCTGGAGAGCTGTACAGCCTGAAATAAGAATCACGTCCAGTTGCTTGTGCACAAAGTTCAAGTCAGTAATTAATTCATGGAAAGTTGCATTTTTAAAGAACAGAAACTAAAAGACTGTAAGAGAAATCCCTGTCCTCGTTTGCAAAAAGGCAGGAAGCTGAGATTTAGAGTGTTCCTCCACATCTTATCCCTTGCAGTAAATTAGCATGTCCAGCTGCAAAGGACAGAGGCTCCTTCCTACACAGCAGTTACCAGTTCTCCTGGGCACCAAGTGCAGCAACCTGCTCATGACAGCTAACATGCCCATACTGCAGAAGCAGCTAATTTCTAAATGAAATAATGTCAAAGAGTACCAGCGCTTTTCTGTGTATTACAAGCCTTTACTGACTGTATTTGCCTCAAGAAAGGTACCAAATCCCTTTCAGTTTTGTGCTTCTGAACATTTTGTGGCCACAACCAGTTATCCTAGGATTGCAAAACTATTATAATCCTTTCTTATGCATGTAAAAGTATCCCAGGACCAAAATCAACAGCTGCCAGAAGTTCCAAGTTCATCCAAGGCAACTGGATCAACTTAGCAAACACAGGAAAGAATAAATATATTTGATAGTCAACCAGTGACAGTGGAATAAGGCAACTAATTCCCTTCAACTCTGTCCAATGAATCCTTGCCAGACAGAGAAGCCTGTGTTCAAGAACTGATCCAATCTGACCAGGTTTTGTTTATAAATTTTGGCAAAAACAAAATATTCTTCCAACACAGACTTCAGTGTTGATGTTGCAGTTACACAGCTCTCATATTTTTCACTTTCTCTTTTGGCTCTTATCTTTCTTTGCTCATATTTTCTCAACAAACCCATTTTAAGCTGATTCATATTGTTTTTCACTGAGAAC